TTCACTGTGGCAAAAATACACAGTGTGCCCTGACTTTCTCCTAATTCATGACACATAGCTCTAAGAGCGGCGTCTGACTTGTATCGTACGTCAGAAAGAAAAAAAAAAAAAAAAAAAAAAAAAAAAAAAAGAAGAAAATCAGGTTTCTTCTCTCCCTCAAATGCTGAAGTTTACTTGATCTCAGTGGGTGTTTAATGGAAACTCATTGCTGTGTTCAAATCCAATTCTGTAGCAACACGATGCACCGAATCCTCTTCAAAAGCAAGAAAACAAACCATTTTTACAACTCAGCAGCGGTGATATAGTCCACGGGCAACCCTGCAGCTAAACCTCTGTCAGACGGGTCATGATGCAACGCGGCGGCAACGACTGCATATTAATGCATACAGGTGAAATGAGGTTCAGAACTCCACCTGAAATAAATACCCCTCTCCTCTAAACACTGAATAAAAATGAGATTACACACGAGACGGATTTGGGGTGTTTTAGATTAAAGTACGAAGATTAGAATGTTTGCTTGACAAGACAGTGAAAGGGATTAAGAAAACCTCAGTTATATTACACACATTAAATGTTAAATATTTAGATTTGAAAACAGAACTAGTGATTCAAGGACAGCTTTAATGAGACGGATAAAAAAACAAGGCAGTAACTAGTAAGTCCAAGTCCTGCTATTGCATCCATGCACTCTACAAAAATAAGCTGCTTTATCCAGTGCAGTTTATGGCCCAAGGAGGGGAGAATTAAGTGCAATGAAGCAAGTTTGTCCTCTGCTGTTTGTACAGAGGTATTACAGAAAGGAAAGATTAACACTGTTTTAGCTTCGGTTTCTGTCCAAATAAAAATAAAATATTTAAGCAATAACCACGTTTGAGGAAAACAGTTTAAGAAAAGTGCAAGTAATTATTAAAAAATTCATAATAAAACTGTAATCATCTTCACAAAGTATACACACGTTGATAATCTTTACCTCAAATCAGAGGTGAGTCAATTAGATTATTCATTATCGTCTTTTTCATATATAGCTGGCAACACATAGAGCGGAGCATTCTGAGCTGATAAACAAGCACATATGTTGTTACACAAACCCTGATGTCAAACTGCTTCCTGAGAGAAAGCCTTTTAAAAGACAACATGGTCACGTGACAGCCCGATTCAAAACCTCCCTGGTGGGCAGAAAGACAACACGCATCATTTGTTGTAGAAATGACTGGCTGCTTGTTCACGAATTTAACACGAAAATGGTCCCACCCCGCATTGTGATTGGACGTCCAACATAAGTGAGAAAAGGGGAGTAGAAGCTGTCCTTAACATGTTATGTATGAACTGATCCTGAAATAAATACAGCAATCTTAAAACGTGTAATCTATTTTCACTGGAGCAGAGCCTGAAACAGAAAATTAACACGTTGAATTTATTTGAATATACTAACACTCACCTTTTTACAGTTACTAATGTGTAAAATCAGGCACTATGCCTCCAAATATAGATAGATATCTGCTTGGTACTTTACATACAAATGCATAGATTTGATCAGATTCTTCCAAATATCAATGTAACCAACGTTTGTTCAGAGTGATGGGTTGTTCTTCCTTCCACTCCTTAGCATGTGAACTGGGTTGCGTTCTTGGTCAAAATAAAGTTGTTTACCAACATGCCGCTCCCTTAACTTAAGGGCCAGGCTAAGCTTTAGAGCAGGGGTGGGCAATCCTGGTCCTGGAGGGCTGCAGCCCTGCATGTTTCTCTGCTCCAACACACCTCATTTGAATGAATATATGATTATCAGGCTTCTGTAGTATGAAGGACCAAAACTGACATAATTAGAAATAAAAGCAGAATTATATAAATGAACTATTAAATAAATACACTTTAAAGGCATCAATTAGAGAACTTTTATATTTTAATTGACTTTCATATTTATTTTTCCAGGTTAGTTTCAATAAATTAGTCTATATATTTTAACACAATTTAAATTTTACTGCTTTTTACATATATATTAATTGTTTTTCCTTTAATTGTACATGTATTTGTGTGTCTTAAATGTTTATACTTAATTATGTTTACATTTTTCCAATAAGTCTTTTTATTTCAATGTGTTGCATGCTTGTGGTGCCTAAATTTAGCTTAAAGTTTAGTTTAAAACAAAGGCAAAGAGGATTACCTCTGCCTTTATTTTAAAAATATATAAAAATAATTAAATTTAAGCATTTAAGAGACACAAATGCATGTACAAAAAAGGAAAAACTATATAAAAATATATATTTTAAAAAACTGTAAAATTTAAATTATGTGTTAAAATATACAATTTATTGGAACTAAGCTGGAAAAATTAATAAGAAGGTAAATTAAATTATAAAACTTGAGGTAAAGTTCTTTTTTTAAACGTATTTATTTATTTAGTGGTTCATTTATATGTTTCTGCTTTTAATTCTAATTATGTCAGTGTCGGTCCTCCATACAGCAGAACTTAGAAGAGGTAATTCAGTGACTGAATCAGGTGTGTTGGAGCAGGGAAACATGTAAAACATGCAGGACTGCGGCCCTCGAGGACCAGGATTGCCCACCCCTGCTTTAGAGCATAACCTTCTAAATTTAATCAGCTAATCAGTCAGTCGATTCTTGTCTTTAGCATGTCATCCATTGCTGACTGTCTGATTTCTGCCACCAGAGTACTGCATAATACACATGCACAAAAACTAGTGCTTCTGTTTATAATCATAATCATCTCTATACAAAGCAGTGTTCCTCAACCTTGGTCCTTGAGAGGGCCAAATTTTTTGCATGTTTTAGTTGTTTCTCTGCTCAACACGCCTGATTTGAATAAATAAGTGAATCACTTATTTATTAGGCTTCTGCATAACTTTAAAATCTGCTGAAGAATAGGGAAATCACTAAAGCAGGCAGGATGGTGGCCCTAGAGAACCATGAATGAGGAGTAATGCTACAGGGCCTTTTGTTTAAGCACAGCACCAGCAGACCCCAAAGGACGTTGACCACAACATTGTTGTATTTATTTACTTTTTCAAACAAGGTTGCATGATCTACCACAGACAATTGCACATTTATACATTTTTAAAAATCTGGGAATGTGACTGGGGTCAAAGCTATTATCACAGTCTTCAGTCTAAGTTTTTCTTTGCTTGTTGTCAAAATCTAGATTCAAGAAGAAACTCTAATAGTTATGGGCCAAAAAACAAACAAACTTTTTTTTTATACCAACAGCTGTCTTGATTTCTTATATCATCACTGGCAGTTAAAAACATATTATAATCAAGTTTGACCTAAATCCAAAACAATCATAAAGAAACGTGAAATAAATTGCAGATAAGTTTGAAATTTGTACGTACATATGACATCTCAAAAAATTAAGTAAATTGTTAAAGTTTCCCTAATCAGGCATTTTATGTACAGCTTATTGGTTGACATCATTGTTGTAAACAGATAAAAAAATAAGCAATAGACTAATATATAATTGTTTGCTAATAAACAAAACACTATACTTATATTAGTTATTTGTCAGAAGGTTCATACAGGTAATTAATACAGTAAGACTTACAGACACTGATGACTTGCATTCATAGTTTAACTTCATAACTTATGTAAGCCAGTGCGTTAAAATTCGTTTTCTATAAGTATCTAATAGAAACTCTGGGGAAAAAAAAAAAAAACCAAACAACCTTTTGGGGGTACCACTAAAGAGACAGGGAGGTCCAGGTTTTAAAATTAAACGCCCCTGTTAGCACCAGCTAACCAGCAGCTAGCCTTAAATCACATTTTATCTAGACCAATATCTAGACCAATGTAAAGCAGAATAAATAGTTTGTGTATCTTATTAGGTAATGTAATAAATTTAAGATACAGGCATGTCAAAAGCGTAAGAAAATCTAATAAATCTAATAAACAAAAAATAAACATTTTCATGATCATCTCGCCGCCATGATGCTAACGCTTTAGCATCTGCTAAACCTCCCTGTGTAACAAAATAACACAACAGTCTAATAAGCCGGCGGTGACACTCACCAGTCCCTCAATTTGGATCTGTTTGACCGGAGAGTCCAGAGTGCCGCCTGTGGAAGCCATCTCTGTGGCAGATGCTGAACTTGACTCTTTACGTGAAGACATTGGTGCCAGTCCACGCCAGATAAAAAGGGGGAAAGAATTTGAGGACGCACGTTTCCGCTACAAATGCATCTGTTACACTGTCCGTGTAGAAACAAAGCAAAGCGAACCATCGACCGCATAAAGTGAGTCAAACGCATTTTAAATTTTATATTAACCAATAAGCAGTACGTAATATAGTATGTAACTTAAACGACATTTAAAAAGGACTTGAAACAAAATATAAAAAAACATTAAAGAAAAAAAAAACGTTCATGCTTAACAACTTCTTGTTTTAAGATCATGGGGTTACAAAAATAGTTGTAGAAGCAGCCCAACATGATTATCAGTTACAGAGGGATGGCACATCAAAACCAAAATCCATAAAGAAAATTCAGAAACTCTGTTATTTATTTATAGTTGATACTGAGGGCAGTCACTACTCAGCTCATTGAAGCTTCTCCTAATGTTTTTGCTCTACTAAACCCAAATCGATACGTGAAATAAAAAGTAAACACCAACACCTGACTTTCAAGTCAAGAAGGGACCACTAATTTATTTTATGTGGCCCATACACTTGAATAAAAGCTCTTATTCTGTTATAATCTCCTTGGTGTGGCCACACCGCCTCACATTTAGGACTTCAGGTCAATCAATGGAGTTCTGATCATTTAGTTTAACTCAACATACTGGCTGAAAATGAAGATAGAACAGATTGAGCAAACATACACTATTTGTATTTTTTTCTCCAAATGTAAATTTGCTTCATTTTATCATTTCCAATTCCATTCTTAACCTTTAAACACTACCTGCCTATCTGACAGTTCAAACATCTAGTAATGTAAAAAAATATATTTATTTGAGCCTCAATATTTTAATTTGACAGACCATCGTTTCAAAACCAAGTATTTAAAACACTTTATTTCAAATCTTTACAGATGTATCACAACTAGAAGTTACCCAGAGTCTAAAAAAGGTGGGAGAGTGAACTTAACTGTAACAAATAACATTACCTAGTTACATAATGCAAAAAGGCAAAATAAGCATTAACAAACCAAAAAAGGTACAAAAAAGAAGAAATTTACATAAAATTGATAAACTGTCTGAATTATACATCTGAAACATGATATTTAATGCCAGACACGTTTCAACTACTCAGTGACAGATTAACCTTTTTGTTTATATTTAAAAAAAAAACAAGTGCAACAGGGAGAAAACAGGAGAGGTTACACTTTCTGAACAACAAAACAGTACCTTTCCAGAACAGAGTCAGTACAGGAACATACCTGATAAGCTGGGATTTTAGCTCAAATGTGAAATATTTCATTTGAAAGAGGGGGACTGATACAAAACATTATATGAGCAGACAACAGAAATTTAACTTAGAAAACAATATGATGTAAAGCTTACAAATTGGTGGCTGAAAAGGGTCATTTTATAAATAAACTTGTAAAACATTCCTAACCCCACTTGAACCAAGAATACTGCCTGATTCCAGCTGTAGTACAGTAAAACTGTTTTAAACGTTCCCAACCCTTTTCCAAGTACATCCCACCCCTCCTCCCAAAGGAAACACATGGTTTGACAGAAAAAAAAATGTAAAAAAGGCAAAGAGTTGAGTAGTTATGTAAAAAAAAAGCCTGCTGCAAGCAGTGTGTTGTTCTTCCAATGTCTAAATGAGGTGGAATTTTGGTCCAGCTGTGGCAACGATGTCGCTGTAGGGCTGAGTCTGAGTGACTTCGATGGCTTGCTGCTTCTTGAGGACGAGGAAACTGTAGAACTTGGCAGCTGCCTGCTTTTTGTTGTCGTTCCTGCACAAGTCCAGGAGGCTGACTGAGTCTGCACCCGTCTTCGCCATGACACGCTTTGTGGAGAAAAGCCCAATCGTAAGTAAAAATCTATCACTGCACTAACATTGGTACTGAAAAATCATTTTCTGAGGCTTTTACCTGTAGACCGTGCAGCATCTGCTGGGTTCTCTTGTTCCATCTCTTCTCCTCCTGATCCTGGTCTCCAGCCTGGCCCTCCTCCTCCTACGAACCACAAAGTTGTTTTAAATCAACAAATTAACTTATAAAAAGCACGAAATGATCCTGCTTTGAATTTTCTTAAAGTCAACTCCGATTCACTTTTGTTAGGATCGTTTAGCTGGTCGTCATTTCTCAACATTTGGAAACTACAACGGTCTTGTGACGATGCTCCCTCACCTCTTCTTCATCAATGTCGTCCTTCTTGTTTGTTGCCTTCTCGTCGAGAAGGTCGAGCTCTGGGACAAGCTGAGTCAGGTCGAGATTGCTCATGTCTGGGGGATTACTGACATGAGGCATGTCTAACCTCTGTGACAAGTCTGAGCGGTCTGCCATTTGCTGCTGCTGCTCCAAAGGAGCCATCTGAAACAGGAGTGGGACCAAACTTCAACTAGAGAAATAATATTTCATGTGAAAACACAGTGTGAGTGAAAAAGAAAATGCTGAAATCAGCTGTCAAGTAGCTGAAAAAAATGAAACTAGCAGAAAAATACTAAAATTAGCAGAAGAATCTAAAAAAAGCATGTATGCTGAATTAAGCAGAAAATAGCTGAAATGAACACAAAAATGGAAAATTAGCAAAAAACAAGAAGGGCTTAAATTAGCAGAAAAATAGTTAAATGGTACAGATAAGCTGGAATTAGTAGAAAGCAGCTGTAAGGAGCATATAAAGCTTAAACTAGCAGATGGAAGTTGAAATAAGCAGACAAAAGCTGAAACTGGCAGAATAGCTAATAGGAGCTGAAGGAAGCTGAAATTCACCCAAACAAGCAGAAAAAGCCTGAGCAGAAAAAACAGGTGAAATGAGCAGTAAAATGTTTTTGCATAAAGCGTTAGAAAGAAACTGTTCATTTTCAATGATACAAAGTGGCTGAAAAAGCTAAATATTTAAAAATAATAATAATAATAATAAATTGCACAATAGAAAAAGTCATAGCAGGAACATCCTGAATGAGCTGAATATTTTTGAAGAATGAATTGTTGAAATAGTTTAAAAACTGTGGAAGAAGTTCCGTGCTAAAAAAAAAAAAAAAGTATGAAAGAAAAGTGGATCTCAACAGTTTTCACACTATTACTGGTGTGTAAGGACAATGAAGCATACTCCTGCTTCACTGATCTAAAGTGGTTATTAAACGATCTCAGCTGGAGTACTCACTGGAATGGTGCCCTCTTTTTCTAGAGTCTTGCGTTTAACACCACGGGGGGTGGATGGAGGAGGCATGACGGTTTCATCCAATGTGGTCCTGCTGCCCTCCATTACAGAGGCTGCCAGCATACTGGGCTCCTCCATGATAGTCTGGTCTGAGAGACAGGAAGTAACATTGTTAATTAATAGAATGAGAAAAGAAAAAAGAAAGCTAAGCAAAGCATTGCTGACTGACTGATGTTTTTTGGTAAAACATCTGCCCCACTCCTCTTTTATAAGAACTCCAGAGTGACTTACCAATAACATCTCTGTGCTGAGTCATGACCTCCTCGCGAGGCACCTCTGGGTTCTCCAGTTCTTTAAGGAACTCATCCAGACTGTCTGCTTCTCCACCCTTTCTCCTTTTCCTCAGCTCGTCTGGCACCAGAGGCGTCAGACACCGTGTGAACATCTGAAAGTGGGAGTAAAACTTTTCTATAAACCTTTATAGAGCTTTAATCAAATATAGGAACTATTGGAATGAAAACAAGACAAAAAGAAAATGACTAAAATTATGCAACAAGTTTTTTATTCAGTATTCAGGAGGAGTAAGGTGAATATGAAAGATCACAAATCAAGACAATCCTTTACTCAACCTCCTGTTGCTTCAGAGCTTTAAATCTAAAATCTGAACAGAATACAAATTAATGTGTTTTAAATCAACTCGCCACCTTTTGTTTGAGCAAATAAAACCTCTACAAGCACTAATATTTCTTGAATGCGAGTTTAGGAGGACAGCTAACAGTTTGAGCTTGTTTTCATGCAGTTGTAAGTGTGGTGGTGTTTTTCTTGTGGCTAATCCCGTCTGCAGAGGCTGCCAGAAAGATTTACCAATTACTTTATATCCGACACCTTTCCTGATGCAACCTAGACCTGAACCCACAGCCTCGACTAACAAGCAATCGCTGACCCACAGTTACATGTGTGTATTGTCCACAAACACTGATTATCAGCAGTTACCTTCAGTAGCCTGGCATTCCAGAGGGGCTGAGCAGGTAGAGAGAAGAGCTTCTCCACCCCTCCAGTCTCTTTCCACATCATGAGCTTCTTGGTGGGAGGAGCCAGGTCCAGAGTGGTCACGATATCAGAGTAGTCAGACAGCTGGGCTCTGATGGTTTTACTGTCCAGCTCCTTCACACTGTCCACAATCAGCTTCCTCTTACGCTTTGCCTTGGTCTCTTTCACTGGCAACCAGAAGAGGAAAAGAAATCAGAAGTAGTACGTCATCAAATCTCACAATTTCAACAACTGTGAACAAGTAAAATTTTTAAAAATGGTTCAATTAATATTCATGTAGTTGAGGCACAAATGCAAGTAAAGTTGCCTGATACAGTATGTAGGTTTAGCTTTCAGGTTATTCTTTTTCAGGATACTGTCAATTAAAAATGACTGAGCTTGTGTTTACATTTCATTATTCCTGAAAGACAAATATGGTGGATCCTATAGAGAAACAGTAATTAGCACTTAAAAGACTTACTGGACCAACATTACTCTTCATTACAGTAATGTTTTTCTCTAATACTCTTTAATTACACAGCCGATGGCTAATTTGTGACAGTCAACACCACAGTTTGAATGGGTCGGGTGAGGAAAATACAGTATTTTATGTTTGTATTATTAAGAGTTCTTGATAGATTGCATAGATAGCGTGATGTCTGCCTGTTAACTGTTAGAAAAGTTACATAACAAATCTACACTATGGTAGCACTTTCCATAAACATTTCAAATAAACACATTAGCAGCAAAATATGAAAGTTTGGCTCTTTTAAAACTCACAATGCTGCTCAAGATAACATTTAAAGAAGGATGTATATAGTCTTTTCTCATAACTCAACCTTACAGAGCATCAGACTCACATCAAGTATGGAATTTTAT